GACTTCCTGTAGTTCTGTCTGTCAGGCCAAAGGTCACTAAGATGACTTCATGTTGTTCTGTCAGGTCAAAGGTCACTAAGATGACTTCATGTTGTTTTGTCAGGTCAGGGGTCACTAAAAGGACTTCCTGTGGTTCTGTCAGGTCAAAGATCACTAAAATGACTTCCTGTGGTTCTGTCTCAGGTCTGACTGCAGTAGGGGGTTTGGTCCTGATGGGTGGGGGTCTCACACCCTCCTCCCTGCCTGAGAGTCTGGCTCTGGCTGCTGCCTTCGTTTCCTCCATCAACATTGCAGGTCTGCCTCTCGTCACAGAACTTCCTGTTTACAGTATCACCCGCCTGTCCTGATTAATGCTGTCCAACCTCTGCAGGAGGCTTCCTGATCACCCAGAGGATGTTGGACATGTTCAAACGTCCCACGGACCCTCCTGAGTATAACTACCTGTACCTGCTGCCGGGGGTGGGGTTTGTTGGCGGATATGGAATCTCAGTGGCTGCTGGCTACAACATCGAGCAGGTAAGGACCACACACACATCCAGTTCCATTTTTTTAACTTTAACTCTGATTTGAAATAAGACAAGAATATTTAGCTCACACTCAGCTGATGGTCAGGATGACGGTGCTTCTAATAACTCTAATAATTATATATATTTTTTGTTGTACAGATAAAAAGGTGTTTATGCTGTAGTGTCCTCTGAATTAAAAGAAACCTGAGCTGAAACAGCTCGTTTTATTTAAATTGTTCCATTATTTTAGTTTTTCACAGACTGCTGAACCTCTGCCCATCTTTACTTCTGACAGATCCAGCCTCTCTAAGTGTCTCACCTGCCATCAGATTCAAACGTTACGTTTTACATCACAGCCCAACTTTTTGTTCCTGCTCCTCTCCTGTCGCAGATGATGTACCTGGACCCGGGTCTGAGTTTTTAACCTTCTCTTGTCTCAGATGATGTACTTAGGTTCGGGTCTTTGTTGTGTTGGAGCGCTGGCGGGCCTCTCTGCCCAGAACACGTCTCGTTTGGGGAACGCTCTGGGCATGATGGGCGTGGCGGGGGGCCTTGCTGCCACCATCGGTGCCCTGAAGCCTTCAGTGGAGCTGCTGTCTCAGATGTCTCTGGCCATGGCCACTGGAGGAACCCTGGGTCAGTGGATCCACTGTGTTGTTTGTGACTCAATTTTAGTTCAAAACATGTTGGAGTCATATAAAGACTCAGAACCAACAAGGTTACACCCATCTTCAGTTTTCTCTTCAAAAGAACCTAACTTTGAATGTTTCAAGTCCAAGAATTAGTTTTAAAAGATCATGAGGAGTTATTTGTCAGAATGATGTTTTTACTGTAATCAACAGAAAAACATGCACAGACAAAGTTATTATTGTTTGTTTTTGTAGTTCTTTTGCTTCATTTGATTGGTTTGAAACAGTAACACAAAACAGGTGTTGGCCTTGGAACCATCAGCTCTCAGCTGTTTTTGGATCTGGGTCGTGTGTGGGTGGTAGTTCTGCTGTAACGTTCTGTTTTTGGGTGGTTGCTCTGCAGGCCTCACCATTGCCAAGCGTATTGAAATCACAGACCTGCCTCAGCTGGTGGCAGCCTTCCACAGCCTGGTGGGACTGGCAGCGGTTCTCACCTGCATCGCCGAGTACATGATCGAGTTCCCTCACCTGGACACCCATGCAGCTGCCGGGGTTATCAAGACTGTGGCGTATCTGGGCACCTACATCGGTGGCGTCACCTTCAGCGGATCTCTGGTGGCCTATGGAAAGCTCCAAGGTTGTAGCTTTAATCAAAATGTTTTTTTTTTATTATTAAGGAATGTCTTGCACACGTTATATAAGTAATGTGTTTTACAGGAAGTACACTGCCCCTCTCCTGTCTGATCGTGGCACATTTCTGGTGAAATGTGACAACCTAATAAATCTGCATGACTTTAGTGTGTGATGAAGTAAACAAAAATAAATGATTTGTGGTTAAATTGTAGAGGTGGTAAACTATTTGAGACAAATCTGTTGATCTCTTAAAGTCATGATTAATCTTTACAATCTGGTCGTGTTTCCAACTGTTTGGCCTTCATCAGTATCTCCGTCAGACCTTGAGCCTGCTTAAAGGAACAGTTTCTGTGCCGTTTGGGTCGGTTCTGTTTACGGAGCAGAAGAACTAAAGAGCTGTCTGATTATAGACCTCCATGTTGACTGTCTCCAAGCTGCTTCAGGTTTCTCTGACCACAGCTGACAAGATTATTCAACAGTAGACGGTTCACAAGGCTGTGGACCAACTTCCAGTACATGGACGCAAGGGAAAGTGCGACCCCAGGTTTATCAGACAGATTAGTGGTCGAAAGGAGCCGAAGCTGAACTCAGAGGTCACCGTTTTGAATCTTGATGAAGAAGACACACAAAGCTAAAAATTCATGCTGACAAGAACCAAAAGGTTCTAATGAGACCAGAACGGACCGTTTGGGTCACATCAGGTGTTTATTTATTTTTTTATTGTTTTGGAAGGGTACCAACAGATTGATCAGCGTCTGTAAATGTAAACGCTGAACTTTATAGCTTCTTCCACTGAATTCAAGTCAAAGATGTTTTGCTCAACCATGGCGTAGACTTCGTGTTGGTGCAGCTTTTAAATTAAGTTTAACGTGAAGCTTTAATGGGGCATGAGAAGCTATTTGGTAATTGGTTGTTTGGTCGTTGGTGAGTTTAGACTGAATTCATTTCTTTAGTTGTAAATCACGTCCTTCATCTAACTGAGTGACGGTTTCTGTTTTTGGGGTGCAGGTCTCCTGAACTCGGCGCCCCTGCTGTTGCCAGGTCGACACATGTTGAACGCGGGTCTGATGGCGGCCTCCGTGGGGATCATGGTGCCCTTCATGCTCAGCTCCAGCTATGGGACCGGCATGGGCTGTCTGCTGGGGGTGTCTGGGCTTTCAGCTGTAATGGTGAGTTTCAGGGACCAGGATCTTCAAAGAAAAGATGAAGTCTTTCACTCACGACCAGTTTGTTTCAACAAAGACATCCTTTACTGTATGCAGAAGGCTAAAACATCCACCTGGAATGAAGCATATTTATCATTTACACCATCAAAGGCAATAAATAAGACTAAACCTGATCTACAGATGATTAACTTTTATATTTAATCTAGTTCAAAATGGCTGCCAGAGCTAATCAGTCTTCAGCCAGTCTCTTCATGGGCTGTGACCAGGGCTTAATTTGAGCTGGATCCTGCTGAAAGAAGATCCAGGAAGGCTCTTATTTTGACAGGGTGCATTCCGGTAATTGTTTGCTTGGATCCAGTAACTCAAATCTCTGCCCCTAAAAGTCCAAAGTCATTGCACATTTTTTCTGTGATTATTTATTAAAAATATGAGAGACGTTGCCCTTGGCCCAGCGGACCCAGTCTGTGGAGTGGATGTTCTGGCCACAGCACGCACACCAGCTCGAGCACGCACTCCTGTCCAGCAGACACAGACGGCATGTCCCACGGGGATGAAGTGTCTTCATCCAACACCTTCTGCGGCGCGCCCTGCAGACAGTGCACGTTACACACAGGAGCATCTCCAGACAGCTCTACAAAGCGCACACAACTGCTGATGTGTCGGAACTTCTGCATACATTTCAGACATAATAAATAAAAAAAGCTTACTGTAAAAAATAAATTATAAATACAAAGAGAGAAATGTTTGTGTTATACACACATTACATCACGTATCAAAACAACAGTGCTAATTTGTCAAAATAACAGCAATCAAAATGTCAAAAAGACAGTCCAATTTACTTCCATAATTTATTTTATTTTCTGCCCCCCGCTGGCCCACTGGCTATTTGGGTCCTGGCATCAATTGGTTTACAAATTAAGCCCTGGCTGTGATTGCTGGAGCAGTATTTATGAGGGTCCTCAGAGCTTCGTTCTGGGAATTTTAAACTTGTTAAAAAGATTTGTGCAACACATTTTCTTCCTAAATAGTAACAGAGCTGGTTTTAGGTGGCAGGAAGAAAGAAAGTAAAGTTTATATTATACAGCACCTTTCATAGAGATGATGCCACACTCAAAGCAGTAAAATATTAAGAATATTCACCAAAATACAAATAAACATCCAAACATATGAAAGCATAGAGAAATAGAGTAAAACACAAAAAACTTCAATAATTAGATAAACGCCTGTTTTTAAAGAATGTCTTTATATGTTCTTTAAATGCATCAACACAACTGAGGCTGTGTAAAGATGGAGGCGGAGCTTCCAGAGTCAATTATCTTAATTTAGCTTAAACGAGTCAGAAACTAAATGCGTGGCAAGGTTTAAAGACCTGAGAGACCAAACTGAGACCAAAAAAAAGAGGCGTTTTGTACACATACCATGTGTATTCAAAAAGATGGACGAAGCGTCTCGACCTCACAAACTGAACCAGTTTGTTTTCTGGGAGTTTCCAGGTTGTATTTTTGGCGTCAGGGTTCATGCTCTCTGGATGTGGGCCTGAGGCAAATACCAGGTCCGCATGCTCCAAGAGAACATTTACAAATTTTCTCACATTTTTGTGTCTCCAACTGGTCACCCGGAGCTGCAGTCAGGTGATACCATCTTAGCAAACACTAAAATGGCTCCAACTCAGTGAATTTTACAAACGTTGAGCTAAGATGGGGTGTGGTAGTAGCTGACAGTCACCCTCAACACATATCCTGAGTGCTAACTGATCTTTGTTTTAAACTGTAGCCTACTAGGTGGTGGGCGATATGCCATATGGTTGAGTAGTTTTGCGTCTCATTTGTTCTGAACTCGACTGACATATTTGTTCTCGTCGTCTTCCCTCCCTCAGGGTGTGACCCTCACGGCGGCCATCGGTGGAGCCGACATGCCCGTGGTCATCACGGTCTTAAACAGCTACTCAGGCTGGGCGCTCTGCGCTGAAGGCTTTCTACTGGACAATAACCTCATGACGATCGTCGGAGCCCTGATTGGCTCCTCCGGCGCCATCCTGTCGTACATCATGTGTGTGGTAAGTCACTGCATGCATCAGGACAACAAACTGAGCTCCAGGAGGTAACGCTGTCTCCCTCCCCCAGGCCATGAACCGCTCACTGCCCAACGTGATCCTGGGGGGGTACGGCACCACCTCCACAGCAGGAGGGAAGCCCATGGAGATTGTTGGCACTCACACCGAGGTCAACGTGGACCAAACTATTGACATCATCAAGGAAGCCAACAACATCATCATCACTCCAGGTGGACACGACGCGAACGCACACTTTAGTGCACACTAACGTGCACACTAACGTGCACACTATCATGCAGGATTGGTGTCAACAAATTGATTATTCAGCTCAGTGTTTGGAATTGGAGAAGTTCAGTGTCTGGTACACTTGTTCCTGAGTGGCTGTAGGATGGAGCAGGAGATAGCCCGACAAACCGGGGCTTTGCCTGCGTTGCTCCAGTCAGTCTGGGTGAAGGAGCTGAGCTGAAGGCAAAGCTCTGAATTTACTGGTCTGTCTACGTTTCAACCCTCACCTGTGGTCATGATGTCTGGATCTGTACTGAAAGAACAAGATCCTGGATCCAAGCAGCTGAATTGAGCGTCCTTCATAGGGTGGGGGGGCTCAGCCTTAGAAATGGGGGAGGAGCTTAGAGTAGAGCTGCTGCTCCTCCACATCAAGAGTACTCAGCTGAGGAGGTTCAGACATCCGATTAGGATGCCTCCTGAACCCATCCCTCTAAGAGGAGAGTCTGGAGTAGATCCAGACTGCAGGGATTCTTCGTCCTTTCTGGTTGGGGAACACCTTGGGTCCCCGAAGGAGGAGTTGGGGAAGGGATGTCTGAGATTTTCTCCTGGACTAGCGTCGTAAAAAAAAGAGATTTCCAAAAACCAACCAGGTGTAAGTTCAACAGATTCATTACAAATCTTTGGAGAACAGCCAGCAATCACAAAATATCAATGCATTTACAAGATCACACTTATGTGTATGTTCAGTGTGTGAATGTGATAAAGCTCTGATTAGTCTCTTTAGAATGATTTGTTCAATTAGCTTTGTAGAGATCTAGTAGAGTGCTGTATGAATGGGTAAATGAGGCACAGATTGTAGTGTAAAGAGCTTTGAGTATCTTGAAATAAGATAGAAAGGCGCTATATAAGTACAGTCCATTTACCATTATCATTTACTTATCAATGCCTTCACTTGTCTGAAGCGCTGACTCGTTCTGACTTCCTGAACAGAAAAAGATCAGTTTTGTAGCCCCTCCCTCTCTGTCCAGCTGTTATCAGAACCCCAGCTGCAGCCAGGAGCAGGAGGGGATCTGGGAGTCAGCAGCAGCTCAAGGACTCTTTAAGACCCGTCACTGTATCATATTCATATCATCAACTTGTCACTGTATCATATCCATATCATCAACACGTCACTGTATCATATCCATATCAACACGTCACTGTGTCCTATCCACATCATATCAACACATCACTGTGTCATATCCATATCATCAACACGTCACTGTATCATATCCATGTCAACACGTCACTGTGTCCTATCCACATCATATCAACACATCACTGTGTCATATCCATATCAACAACACGTCACTGTATCATATCCATATCATCAACACGTCACTGTGTCATATCCATATCATCAACACGTCACTGTGTCATATCCACATCATATCAACACGTCATTGTGTCATATCCATATCATCAACACGTCACAGTATCATATCCATATCATATTAATCCAACCGACCTTGAGGATAATCAAAACTATCTCTTGCTGTTCCTCACGGACCGGTCACACCAAAACTGCTTATTACATGGAACACTTTAATATCATTCACAATTACAGTACAGGAGCAGAAAAGTACAGAGCATGGTGAGTGCAAATAATATACATTACCTTGACACCTGATACCTCATGACTCGACCTCAGATAAGGAGGACTCATCTGTGGCTGAAAACTGTGAAATAAAAAAACAGCTTAGGGGGGCAGGTGGTACCACATCTGGACCAGGATTAAAATAAACTGAATAAAGGTGACGGTCCTCCTGAAAGTGACAGGAAGACTTTGGGAAACCCCTTCCTCGGGGGGGGGGGGGGGGGGGGGGTGTGTAA